CACCTTAACGGCATAAAACAATACAGCTGCCACCTGTTGGTTCCTATTTTGCCTTCCACATGTATCGGAGAAAATGATATTTCTCTTATTGTGGATAGCAGATGTTCTAGGTAATTGAGAAGAATGGAACCTATTTCACAACTGCCAAGTTTTCCATTTAACTCGTTCCAGTAAAAGCAATATGCATATGAACCTGCACCCTCGTAGATGATTAGATTGTACAAACATATTTTACGAGAGTAATAAAATTGTGATACATTCGAGAATGCCAATTGCAATACACTCTACACTCATTTATTTTGTTTCTTGGCAGCATTACATTCATTTTTGCTATTAATATGTTCAGAATATTCTACTTCCAAATCTTTCTTTCTACATTTGCCATTGCATATTTGTTACATAACGCACACTGGTCCTTCTTTATCCTGAAAAAGGAGAGATTATAATCCGTACAGAATATTTTTCTGTATGTATATTCACTTAATGTGGATAATTATTTTTCTTCACACATCTTTTTATATAGCTCATACATTTTTAATATCGACAACTTACAATCCAAATACTTCTTTTATGTGCACTTTCGTACGTAGTGTGATTCCATACAAGGAAAGCTTTTAATGTGGTTTTTAACTACTGCAACTTGCTCATCAGAAGCTTTATTCCCAGGTGTCTCTACCGCGTCTGCCAATGCCTTGATACGTGCCCGTATTGTTCGTACCTTCAAAGCAGTATTTATAGGTCCATTTGATATACATAGTATTTTTTTTCAAAGGAATTAGCACTAACTCTGAAACGACCCTTCGAATTTTTCAAATAATAAGCTTTTGAAACTGATCGAGCTTTACTGCTCAATAAATCGACTATTCCTCGTGGCGTCGTTATTTGAAATTTTTTTTAGAAAGTCTTTTTGACTGTGATTTTTATTCAGTCTTCTAGTGACTGTTCATCTGAATCTGTAATTTAAGCTAAATCTGTTATGGACCTATTTCTTCCATGTTGCAGATAATAAGTAATTGAATCATCGTAAGAAAAATCTTCACTGCTAGAGTACCAATGGTAGTGAAGATCGTAAAATAAGATGGTCCCGTTTGTCTTTTTGTTCAACACCTTCATCGTTAATATCCACTTATGGGTCACTATTTATTTCGAAACCTGGATTTTTTCAATAAACACAAAAAACTATGAAAACTTACAAACTCGAAATAAACAACACGCCGTCACCAATATTCAGTAAGTGACACATAAATCACAGAATGCATAGAATTAAAATTGTGTGTCAGTTAATGAGTTTTGCTTCTCAGTAGTTTGCATACCCGAAATTTAAACACGTTAGAAGTAAAACTCCATAAGTGCTTTACTAAATTTTTCCTCCCGTGTGTTTTAGTAAAACGGTACTTAATGATTACTGATTTTAAACGAAATAGTAACTAGGATAGCGTACCAACGTAGTAAATTATTTACCTTATAGAACATCAAAAATTAAGTGTACTTAGTGAAAAAACTCATTTTTGCTCAATATGTCACTTAATGAGTTTTACCTAGTGTCGATATATTAATTTACCATACGTTAGTTTTTAATAATGACTTTTTTTGTGTATACCGATACACTATTCCTAATGTAAAATCTGTAACTGGGCTTAAATAATCGTAGACTAAAGTATTCCCCAATTATAAGCGGGATTATAGTATATAGTGAGATATAAGTGATTATAAGTGAGAGATTGATGATACCAAAGTCGTTGTTAAACAATAACCTACTTGGTGGATTAAGTTTGTACGATATTAAGTTCAAGATGTTCGAAAACTTTCGAATAATTAAGCTACAGGTTGTAATACTTTAGTTATTAGATGATACATGTATTAATCATTTTGGAAATATAAGTCTTGTCTCAAGAGAAGTGATTTATTAAAGAGCTTTGTAACGGTTGTCTTGTATTTTGAAAGTATAAAAAATGGATTAAAAAAAATCATTTAAAATTTATTTTTATATATTATCTTTTTATTTTTTTTTTACTTTTGGAAGTATCACTACACTAATTCAAAGTGGTTTTTATCACCTTTATAAATTTAGTGATTAAGATTCCGTCAAATGGCAACAGTGAGAAAGCATTTAGAAAATTAAAGTAGCCATGTGCTTTTCCAACTACATATTAGTCGCAGCTTCTTCATACATATTAAATAGGGTAGGTGACATGATGTAACCCTGTCTTAATTCCTTTTTGTGACGTTAATAGACTGTGAGAGTGTCAATTATTTTTTTATTTGTACGGTATTGTCTCTTTATTGAGACAGCAAATGACAAGAAAAAAAAGGAAGCGTAGAAGAACTTAGCGTAAACATAATAACAATAAAGAAAAACATTATAAAGATCCTTTGAAGGCTATACTGAGATTAAAGGCTTGAGATATTTAGTGCCAACGTAAAGTAGTTAATTGTTTAATGTATAAATTTATTTTGTTACTATTCTTGAATCATTTGAGATGCGAATTTCAAATGTCTTTGTCAATCTTAAAATATAAACAAATGGCATATAATTCTAAATATATGTACTTGAATTCCCGATTTTTTAAATCATTTAATATAAAAAAATATTTTCATATTTAGAAAAGATATAGCTGTAAGTTTCTGATTTGTTATAATGTCCAAACCACTTCTGCACTTCTGTGTATTTCGGATCTACCCTTTATTAGTGTATTATTCGGTCATTGTCCTATAATTCAGACAGTATTTAAAAATAGGTTTAGTGCACTTTGAAATTCACACTCTTTTTTGTTCATTGTTAGTCCACACAATGGATATCGATTCTAGGTTTACAATATCTAGAGCATGACAAGATAGAATTTTAAAGAAACATAATTTTAATAAAAGGACCATTGTCAATTTACTGCAAACAGGAGGATCAAAGCGTACAATAAAAAGAAAGAACAATCTAAAAGAACGCAAAGGATGAACTTGAAGTAGTTAGTTTTAAATTTATAGATGTAATTTTTTATTTAAAAAAAAATTAATAAATAAAAAGGGATTACTTTTTTATCATAGCAATATAAAGCAGTTCGGTAAAATTGTTATACATAATAGTTATTTAATATTGCTTGTAGATTTTAGATTTCAAAGTAGTCGTTTGAACGGATTACCTAAGCTCTGATGTCACAATGGGCAAAGATTTTAAAAACATTTCCAAACATTTCTAATTTGAGTGTATTTGTCCCATAAGAAGTTTTCCAACTTGGTTTTTAATTGTTTAAAGAATAAATAAGAACTTTTGGTTATGAACTTTCATTCTGTGCAATTGTTATTATGTATTGTTCGTGAATTTGTGAGTAAGAATACAGTTTAATATTACATAATGTTCATATTTTAAGATTATCTTATTGATTGATTAAATCTTTAATTATTTTTTACTGTATTTCATGGTATTTTGTTGTTGTTTTATCGGAGTTATTTCAAAATAAATCAATAAATCATTAAATTTATTTACGAAGTTAAAAAATATAGTGACAGTGATTTTATCCCTTAAAAGACGAAATATATTCGTTTAAAACTATTAAAACATTCAAAAAACATTTTGTTTAACTATCATTATGGCAATTTGATAGAAAGATTTCCACAGAATGTTATATTACAACTTAAACTACGAGAAAACCAATATCTTTAGTCTTTTACAGGATAAAATCACTGGCAACAAAAAAAGACTAAAACATTAATTTAAATATTTTTCAACTTTTTAAATAAACTGAATGATTTATTGATTTATTTAATAATATATCTTGAAATACAGTAAAACAATAATTAGTTTTAATCAAACAATAACATAACCTTAAAATATGAACATTCAGTAAATATCTTTATACTTTGATATTCTTACTTCACAAATTCACGAACAATAAATAATATCAATATCACAGAATGAATGTTTCATAAACAAAAGTCCTTAGTTATTCTTCAAACACTTAAAAAACCAATATTTCCAACTTCCTATGGGACAAATACACACACTTAGAAATTTTTGGAAAGGTTTTTAAAACCCCCGCTCATTGTGACGTCAGACTTAGGTAGCCCACTGACAAGATTCTTAAAAAACCTGTTCCAAAAATTTATGATGATGGCAAACAAATACCTTACGACTGCAAATACTATTTTCGCCCGTTTCTAAGAACGGTTTCTCAGCGTGTCTCAGCCCTCTTGATTTCAGGATCTCTAAAGATCCAGACGAAATTTGTAGGGATATTGGACCACCCTCCGCACCATCGTAGATGAATTATTATATTGACTCTAGTTAGATGACCAGATGATGATCGATCTGATGGTTTTTGGGGACTGCGGCAGATTTATGAGTGCTGTTTTGTGTCACGTTGCGGAAAATTGAGACTTTTCTATCTCCAATGGGGCACCAAATTTTGTGATAGAATAAACGGACATTGAGGATGTGATTTTTATTAAAATTTTCCGTCTGAATTAAGATTCTTTGGGATTGGGTGAGATTGATTAAGAAATGCGTATTTAATTTGACAAAATGTGCATTGGTGAAAAATCTTTGTTAGAGTTTACTCGATTCTATACGTACATAGATTAGTTAAAGTTTGGGCGGGATTAAAAGGGGCCTGACGGGTACGTATTATCTCCTGTGAGAGTCTAGAAGTAGAGGGTTGCTGGTTATGCTCCCTATTTTGAATCTCGATTGGGTTCTTAGTGCTAATGAAGTTTTTACGCATCTTAGGGACGCTGGTGACGTTTAAGGTATATGTTTTGATTTACTTAAAGGCGAGTGGTGGGTGAATGCGGGTCTTGGGTAGAATTGGGGCCTAAATTAAATATCTGATAACTCATTTTGGACTTTAAAGCAGAATATACTTTTTAGAGTTTATAAAAAGCATTTTTAAAAAGAGTTTTAATCTCTTTTTTTGGTACATTTTAAATATTAAACAGTGATTAATAAAAGTCTTAGTAATCTCTATGTATAGAGTAAATATGTTGATATATTAATAGGAGTTTCTTGTTACAGATAAATTAAATTTACAAAATGTCATCAGTAAAAGTAGCAGTTCGAGTCAGGCCATTCAACAACAGAGAAATATCAAGAGAATGCAAATGTATTATACAAATGAGTGGCAACACCACAGGTAAGTAGAATAATTACGGGACATTATTAATAAGTTAATAATAAATTCGGAATTGTCGACTAATTCTCAATTTTTCGTAAATAAAATACAGTGGTAACTCGATATACGAGCGCCCTAATATATGAGCGTTGATACGAGCCGAGAAGCGAGCGATATTGTGCATTGAGATGAGAGCAAGATTTGAGATACAAGGAATCGGTTTTTATTTAAATTCATACCTCTTATTTGACTACTTCTAATCTGCTTTGTAAATAAAAAATAGGCCTCGCCATAAAGATCATTTTACGGATCTGTAAGTGACTATTACTTGGACTAACAAATTAAATGGTCATTGTAAATTAAATCCGACAAAAATTCGGATTCTAATACTAACCATATTGCACTTTCCATGTCGGTGTAATTTACACTGTGTAAATTTTTACTATACACCTCAGTCTGTCTGCTTTTCTTTTTTTCCTTCATTTTCGAAGTATTGTTGATAAGTTGGGTTCGCGTTTTGTGCTTTTTGTACATTACAATATTATATTTATTTTTACAACCATGGGTTCGAAGAAGAAGATGATGTCTATTAAACTAAAACGTGAAATGATGAAAAGAAAAAGATAGAGAAACTACTAATGGTGTGGGTGACAGAGAAGCAGTTTGAAGGAGGAACCTTAACACAAAGCATCATGTGTGCGAAGGCACGAGCGATTTAGGAAGATTTGCTGAAGCAGATCCCACACACTTCCACAAATGATGAATCGGAAGACTCGTTTAAAGCCAGTCGGGCTGGTTTGACAACTTTAGAAAAAGGACCAGCATTCACTCCATCGTCAGGCATGGTGAGACAGCAGCTTCGAATGTGAAAGCAGCTGAGGTTTATATCAAAACGTTTTCCGAACTGATAGAAGCCAAAGTATACTTCCCCCAGCAAGTCTTCAACTGTGACGAGACAGGGCTTTTCTGGAAAAAGATGCCAAATAGGACTTACATAACGGCAAAGGAGAAGACGATGCCAGGTCTTCACCTATGCCGTTTCACAAACGTAGCAAATTTCGTAACAATCGTTCACAAATCTATGAAAGATATATTAACTCTACTACTTTGCGCCAATGCCAGTGGCGACTGTAAAATCAAACCTCTTCTAGTGTAGCTTTCAGAAAATCCAGAGCCTTTAAATCACATAAGATTTTAAAAGAAAAACTGCCAGTTATGTGGAGGGCAAATCCAAAGGCTTGTATCACCAGGAAATTCTTTGTGGAGTGGATAAACCTAGTGTTTGCCCCTTCTGTTAAAAAATATCTACAGCAAAACAACCTACCCATCCAAATCCTTCTTGTCCTCGATAATGCCCCTTCTCACCACCAAATCTCGAAGATGATTTACTCCAAGAGTTCAAGTTTATAAAGATTCTCTACCTATTAGCCAACACCATTCCTATCTTGCAGCCCATGGATCAGTAAGTGATTTCTAATTTTAAGAAGTTTTACACCAAGCCTGCGAGGGACTGGAACTCGAAGTGTCAGTGGTAGATGAGATATGTTTCTCTTGGAAGATCCATTGGTCTGAAGGTAGATGAAAGAGATGTGAACTAACTTGTCGAGAAACAGTCTCAGGAGCTGACAACCGAAGAGTTCGGTTGTCAGCTCTGAGACTGACAGACGAACTACATTCGCAGCAGTATACGGTGGTTCAACGAAAAATTAGTTTTGAAGAGGAGCCATAATTGGAAGACGTTGTCTCTACAAGAGATATAAAGGAGATCCTGGTAATGTGGTAGAAAGTTGCAGAGTTCGTGGATAAAAATTACCCCGAAAAAGTTACTGGTCGTGCATCGGTGTTTTTCAACGAAACTTGCCTATCACATTTCCGCAATATTCTGAAAGGGAGGAAGAAACAAACCTCCTTAAAAATTAAGCTCTTGCGTAAGCACTTCACTTTTTCTTATGTTTTTACAGAATATGTATGTATTTTTTGTTACTTATGAATGTTTCTTTTATTAAATACATTTTTCTTATTTAAAAACACTTCACAAAAACAACTAACTTGTTTTTTTGGGGACTGCAACGGATTAATGACATTTCAGGTATTTCAATGGGGAAAACTGCTTTGACATACGAGCAATTTGACATACGAGCAAGATTACGGAACGAATTACACTCGTATGTCGAGATACCACTGTATGTCTATTATTCACGTAATTTAATGCTTTTGCTGGTTTTATTTTTTAACTTACAATCCTTTAAAAAGTCAACAATTGACCAGATTCTCCCAATAAGACAGATCCTCGAGAAGACATTAGAATTTAACATTGAACCCATGACTTATTCGTCTATTTCAAGGCCACGTATGACAGTGTCAAGGTCAAGAGAACAGTACTATGCCAAACAATTATAAGGTGGGATAAGATTTAAAAGCAGCTGTGCATACCACTCACATCGAAGTAAGATTTCAAAGGAAAATCAAAAACCTCAGCTGTATTTATGGACTTTATTAGCAGCTTGATATAGTTTAGAAATAGGGCATGATATACAAGTTTTTTCGTAAATCCTGTGCAAACTGACAGCCCGACTGATAGACAATATGCTTAATGATAGGATGTTATAAGTCGTCATGGAATCCAATATCAGCTCCCCAAGGAAACTAAAAAAAAAGGACTACCATAGATATTAGTTCTTTTCCACCCCTATTTTACATAAAAGCAATACAACTCAGATATAATTATTATGTAAAGTCAATGTCTTAGTAAATCCGCGAATTATTTTCCTATAAAATAATCATAATTCTTATTTTTGACGTTAAGATTTTCTCATTAATTCCTTTAAATTGCGTATTTTTTGAAATCTCGATTATATACCAAATATTGTTCACCTTAAAAATTCATACTTGAATGTACTGTATCCGTCGTAGCTCAAAAATTACTCAATTCGATAGCAATAAATCACGATAATACTTCCATGTGTACAGAAATACGAGCAAACAGAAAAAAATAAAATACAAATGCTTAAAAGTAACAAAAGGTTATTCTTGACACATATTATCTGGTTTTTTCCGTACTTTGATTGATGAAGATGAATGCCTTGAAGTGGAATTGGAGTTTTTCTTTTTCAACGGTTATACCAGATCGGATTTTTATTATAATACGCAACGATATTTGGAGAGAAAATCTTTTTAACAAGTTTTATTTTAACATGTCTTATCTTTTTTCTTCTCTGAATAAATAATAAAAATAAAAAATTATGATAAATTTTTTTTAAATTAGAACGCTTTTTGACGCTAAAATTAAACTGGTCACGAATATTATCATTTTCCATATTCATGTTTTTAGTTTCATTTTTTTCATAACATACCTATGTTATCGTAATGAGAAAATCAGTGTAATGTATTTGTTGTTTTTCTTTTTCAGCTATTACAAACCCAAAAGCAGACCCGAACACAAAAGATGCTCAAAAAAATTTTAATTTTGACTACTCATATTGGTCACACGACGTAAGTAAAACTATATTATCATTTATACATCTTAGATTTATTTATCAATATTTTTATTTCTTTCAAATCACATAAATCCGTATTATAGTATTTTAAGAGGAAGTGAATTACGTATAATTTTGTAGAAATCGTAAATCGTGACAATGGAACAGTGGCAGAGAAAAAACACATATAGAAGGATCTTTCACTGTCATTTTTTAGCGTCGGAAAAGGTTATACACATGTTATAGAAAAGAATCAAAGGTTGATCAAGATTTTAGTTCCGTGTTTGTACCACTAGGGAGCGGTCATAACAGCGCTATTACTGATTCCAAAATATGAAAGAGCGGGGCAACAAATGCAACTTTAGACTAACTCGATAAAACTTTCTTTTTATAAACTATAAATAAAATTAATTAAAAGTCAATCATCCGGAGAGAAAGCTCAAAAAATTGTAAGGTGTTTCGAGCAAAAAACAATTTCTGATCTTGTTAGTACGCTAGAATTGCTTTTTAACACGTACACCAAAGAATTCTTTTTTACAATTTGAAAATTTGAAATTGTGAAGTATAATTTCGGATTTTTAAATAAAAAAAATAAATAAGTAAGTCTCAAATAACGCCTTTCTAGAGCTCAACAAAGGAAGATGAGAAAAAAACAAATAGGCTGTTGGAACATGGACCATAGCAAATCCCAAGAAAACCAAATCAGCAACACCCGAGAATAAAAAGAGACTTCGGGAGAATACCATTACCACCCTAGTAACAGAGTTGCTAAGAAACCAAGGGACTCTAACGAGCAAATTAGATCATAAAGCACCAGGACAAAAGTATTCAGAATGGTGGTAGCACACAGACACCATCCTGATATTTAACTAGATCGGGCTCAAGCAAATTTGATCACTAACAAACTGGAGCAAGCACTTGATAAGACTCCTATCGGAAATCAAAATGAACAGTTCCATAAAACATCGTTTAGCGAAGGGACCCTGTTGGTGAACTGTGTTAACATCATCATCATCATCATTGGCTTTTACAACTCTTCGTGAATTTTTGCCGCGTTTACTATTGCCTTCCATTGATTCCGGTCCTGTGCTATTATTTCCCATGGCCTTACTTCCATCTTCTCCAGGTCTTCCCTGACTGCGTCTTTCCACCTTTTTCTAGGCCTTCCTGTCGATCTTCTACCATCTGGTCTTTCCCAAAACACATTGCAATCAGTCTGTCGTCATCACTCCGTACCACGTCGCCTGCCCATCTTAATCTATTGGCTTTTATGTATCTTACGATGTTTCCTTTCCCGAAGAGAGTCTCTATTTCATTGTTGTATCTGCTCCTCCATTCATTTGTCACGCTGTCCCTGCAAGGACCATATATAATTCGCAGGATTTTGCGTTCCCATACTAATAGCTTATTGATTTCGTTCTTTCTCAATGTCCGTGTTTCACTTCCATATGTCACTGCTGGTCGTATTATGGTTTTGTACATTTGGATTTTGGCACGCCTTGAGAGAAGCTTTGACCTCATTAGATGTTGAATGGCAAAGAATGATTTATTCCCCGCCAGTATTCGTATTTCAACCTCCCATTCTCCTGTGTTTTCACTGGTAATTGTTGCTCCTTAACTGTGTTAACGAGTATACAAAAAAATGGACGCCTGAAGTGGTGAAGACTATTGAGGACCTATGGGAGGGAGCAAAGTTAAATATAATTGATCCAAATAATATGCCCAAGCGCCCATGGTCCTCACCCGCGTCCCCGAGAAAGAGCTTGATGAAAAAAACCATCAGGACCCGTCTAAAGAGGCAAAATCAAGACCTTAACACAGAAGACTGGTTGTGATATCTGTTCCACAGACTGAACGACAGTAAAGATAAAGGTCAAAGAGGGAGGATTTATGAAGGAGATAGTTCTCAGATCAGCATACCTCCCATATGATGATCCCAAACAACCATCAAGGGAATTCGAACAGCTAGTGAGAGATTGCATGAAAAATGAACCATCTGGGAACCTGATGGGCAATACAAACACCAAACTGTTAAAAACTGGCATGGCCTTAGATGAGGTGTCTTGTTCACCACGAACAGCATGACATGCGGAAACTAGAGCAATGGAAGCATATCAAGCAGACCTGGAATATTGTTTCATCATCATCCAGCCTCAAGAGTCCACTGCTGAACATAGGCCTCTTCCTCATGTTTCCAACCCCGTCTATCTTGCGCCGCTCTTATCCAATTTTTATTGATTCTTCTTAAATCGTCAGTCCATCTTGTAGGTGGTCGACCGACGCTTCTCTTGTCTTCCCTTGGCCTCCATTCCAATAACCTCTTTGTCCATATAGGAATATTGTTTAGGTAAGATTAAAGGCATACATTGAACTTAGACATTGCCGCCGTACAATTTCATTGTTATTTCAAGCTTCATTGAATACTTTTTTGAATAGGACAAATGTTCAATGAAATAATTTCGAAAATAGTCTAAGAAATTTAATAAAAAGTCTTAAGAAAATGAAATTTGTGGTTAAATATTATATTTTGAGAAATTTTTTAAAATGTTTCGTAAATTTTTGGGGAGGTAAACAGTATAATATAAACTTACGTGACGGTTTTTCGTAGTGTTAGAACAAACCTATTTTTAATTCAAAGCTATAAAATTTTATTTACATGTAATAAAAAGAAATAAATACTTTGAATATTGTAAATTTCATACCTTTTTAAGTTTTAAAATAAAAATTTAACAATTTAATGTATTAAAAATAAAGATTTTATTGTGAAAAAACAAAACAAAACAAAAGACAGTTAATGGCATCGAATTTGAAATGCAGCGTGGCTACATAAGTTAAATAAATCGCTCCGTTCGTACTCCTTTCCTACTTCTCCCGAACTATATCTTTCATGATGGTCACACTGTTAAGGATTGTTTTGATTATAACCGTAACCAAATCGCCCATTTGATCGGTCCTTCTATTGCTAATAGTTAGAATAGTAAAGTAACCATCAGCTCAAAAATACATCGCTGAATAGATTGCAAATTCCGCCTTGTTTCGCTGGTCGGACAAGTCCGACCACTCGAGGAGGAAATTACATAGGTATGTCATTTCTCGCACCTTACCATAAATGCTGTTTGTTTTATTTGATCCTCTTACATCATTTTTTCAATATACTTTTGGTAATAAGTTTGTTGTTTGTGATATATTGGTCTCTTCTATTTATGAAATTAACATTCATATTCTTCTCGAATATTTTCTAAGATTTATTCGTTAATATAACGGTTATTTTGTAGCCAACATAAATCACAATACATTCCAGTGTTTTAACTCGCCAGGAAAAAAATTCTTTAAATTATTACTGAATACAGTTTTGTTTTTCGTACATACGATAAAATGCCGATGGTTAGTTCAAATAGTTTATTTTCTCTTTAATGTGGGTCTTAATGTACCGGGTGGTCCAATAAGCCGATCTCTCGGCTATATATCAGAAACTATTCATGTTATAACTTTAGGAAAAAAAATTCCTTAGTAAAAGTGGCCAAGAGAAATCGCTGGAAATAACTTTCAAGATTCTGGATTAACCGCTAGGGGGCGTAACCTGCGAAGAAAATTTTAAAAACCAGTTTTTTGGGAAATATGTCCAATTATACCAAGTGTAAATAAGTAAAGTAGAAAGGGGCATAAATTCTGCACAAAGTTGTTCAAGTACTTTTTTTTATTTTTTCAAATAAAGGGTGGGGGAGAGTGGGAAAGTATTTGTGGATAAATACCTATAACTTTGGTTTGGTCCAACCGATTTTAATGAAATTAGTGTCATTAGAAAGAGTTTGGATGAGTTAATGTTAAAATACTTGCATTTAGTTTTCATAGTCGTAGGTACAGGGGACTTTCAAATAAAAAAAATTAAAATTTGTTTTTCTTCAAAATTTTTAAGGGAAACACCTATTTATTGTAAATTATAATGGAACTGGAATAAATTCAATGGAGCAAACCGCATGTTAATAGCTTTTGTTGAACTCGAGATATGAATAAAAACTCATAAACATAAGTAAGTATAGTATTGACACACCCTGTATTATAAATTACATTAAAAAATAAGTCAGTAGGTATTTTTAAATTTTTTTATAGCAGAAGAATCTTAACGTTGATACCTATTTTGTAAAAAATAGTTTTTTCGAAACTAAGTAGGCTATGACAATGAATTTGACGGGGAGTTCATATTGTTTATTTATTGACAGCAGTCAAAACATTGTTAAGAAGTGCTATATTATAATTCGAATTAAAGATTGCACTTTTTTCAATAGATATTAATATTGGTAATATTAGTAATTAATTATCAGTACAAATAATTCGTGATGAGTATATCAAATTGTATGATATGATTGGAGTTTATTTCGAATGCCACCAAAATGCCGCTATTGCCTCACGTATATATTTTGTAATATATCGTGACAGGAGACATTATGGCAAAGAAGTATTTGAAAGAAAGGCAAAAAGATTAAGAGAAACTGGTAGTTTTTCTCGTCCTTGTTTTAAACGACGTAGTAGAGTTATGACCGAAGATAATTCAATCAATGTTCTTGCTTTAATTCAACAGAATCCACATATAAGTAGCCCGAAATCTCTACTTCTTTGCCACAATATCTCCTGCCAGGATATCTTACAGAATATATACGTGAGGCAATAGCGCCATTTTGGTGATATTCGAAATAAACTCCAATCATATCATACAATTTGATACTCATCACGAATTATTAGTACTGATAATTAATTACTAATATTACCAATAAATATCTATTGAAAAAAATGCAATTTTCGATTCGAATTTTAATACATATTTCTTAACAATATTTTGACTGCTGTCAATAAATAAACAATATGAACTCCCTGTCAAATTCATTGTCGTAGCCTACATTAGCCTAGCCTAGCTAACATTAAGAGTTTTTCTGCTATAAAAAAAATTGAAAGTACCTACTGACTTATTTTTTAATTTATTTTATAATACAGGGTGTGTCAATACTATACTTACTTATGTTTATGTGTTTTTATTCATATCTCGAGTTCGATAAAAGCTATTAACATGCGGTTTGCGCCATTTTGTTACGAATTTAATCCAGTTCCAATATAATTTACAATAAATAGGTGTTTCCATTAAAAATTTTGAAGAAAAACAAATTTTAATTTTTTCTATTCGAAAGTACCCTCTACCTACGACAATTAAAACTAAATGCAATTATTTTATAGTAGATGTAAATTAACTCATATATACTCTTTCTAATGACACTAATTTTGTTAAAATCGGTTGATCCAAACCAAAGTTATAGGTATGTATCCACAAATACTTTCCCACTCTCCCCCACCCTTTATTTGAAAAAATAAAAAAAAAGTACTTAAACAACTTTGTGCAGAATTTACGCCTCTTTCTAGTTTACTTATTTAACACTTGGTATAATTGGAAATATTTCCAAAAAAACTGGTTTTCAAAATTTTCTTCGCAGGTTACGCCCCCTAGCGGTTAATCCAGAATCTTGAAAGTTATTTCCAGCGATTTCTCTTGGCCACTTTTACTAAGGAATTTTTTCTCCTTAAGTTATAACATGAATAGTTTCGGATATATAGCCGAGAGATCGGCTTATTGGACCGCCCGGTATATTATGAATCAACCGTGACACCAACAGAGAATTAAAAATCATCTATCGGACAAAATTCCGCCGCCGTTGCGTTATGTCAACGTCAGATTTACATGCGTTTATCGGTCATCAACAGAAACAAACCCTATTATCGGTTCCACCTCCATTAGCACATAACGAGACAAAGCTGTCATTTAGCGGATAATAAACAATACTAGGCAGAGCAGAACAGCAAGTTATCAGAATTTCTCACGGCCTATTTGTCCTGCCCATGTATGTTCTCCCTCAAAATAATGTGATCTTTACCCTGGTTCTTTGTGTTTGATAATATTTAACTTCTCGAGTCACAACTCCTAAAGGGATATATATTGTATAATGATATATTACCAACAAAATTAATCAACTTAATAAAAAAATTTGCAATAAAAACTATAGCCAAATATTTTTTTAGGAAACCGATCCTGCTTTCTCGTCTCAACTACTAGTATACAAAGATATAGGCGAAGAAATGCTTCAGCACTCTTTCGACGGATATAACGTTTGTATATTCGCTTACGGACAAACAGGCGCAGGAAAATCTTATACCATGATGGGTAAACAGGAAGACGGTCAAGAAGGGATCATACCGCAAATATGCCAAGACTTATTCACCAGGATACGTAATAATAGTTCGCCTGACATTAAGTATTCAGTAGAAGTTAGTTATATGGAAATTTATTGCGAAAGAGTGAGAGATCTCCTGAATCCTAAAAATAAGGGTAAGTTAATATTTTATATTTTATACGAATACTCTCGGGTAACTAAATAGTTCGCGGTCAAAACGCGAAATTTTTGTTATACTTCGGTGAAAAAGTCTAAAAGAACTCAAATTTGAATGTTTTTTTGCCGTAAAATAGTAAATCTGTTACAAAAATAAAAAAAAAAGAGTATAAAAAACCTTAAAGTTGTTATATAAACCATGACGGATTTGTGAAAAAACCACTACATTTGGAAGTGGGATGTGGCATGAGGATTTTTGCAGAAAAAGTAAGATGATAACTTCAGTAATAATAACTGACTCATCCTCGCTGCCAAATAGGTCGGGCTAGTCCAGTTACTGAGAGTTTTTACCTCCGAATTCTTTATAACTGAATCGATTCATTTAAAATTTTGTGTGTTGGTAAATAATTACTCAAGGAACAAAAGTTATATAGTGCCGATGTGCGCTTCCACCCTGGGGGTGTTTGCCACCCCTTTTCGAGGGTGGAAATTTTTTCACTCAAAACAACCACGCTATTCAATAGAAGGACAAATTTCAAACAAAAAATGTAGTAAATATTTTTTTCTCTAGATCAATACTTTTTGAGTTATTCGCTGTTGAAGTGTCATTTTTCGTTAAAAAAAACATGTTTTTCAAAGGTTTTTTAACAATAGCTCTGAAACTAAGAGTTTTATCAAAAAAAGTGTAACGATTAAAATTAAAGCTCATAAAAAAACAAAAAGATTGGATTTTTAATGAATATTTTCAGTTCAATATTAACTGAGTTAAGGTTGTTCAAAGAAGGTTTGTTTTTGTCTTTCAATACGAGCATTCAACGTTAAATAACGGAAAACGGGTACATTTTTCGACAAAACTCATATAATATTTTTAAAAGAGCTTGTAAAGACCTTTAAATTGAGTGGCGGTAAAAGTCCTTTGCACCAACTGTAAGTGAGATACGATCAAAAAAATGATGGGGTTTCTCAAATTTTTGTAAAAAAAAAACGCAATAAAACTAACGTCATGTTCACTAGGATTGAAATAAATTGTTTTCCTTATAAAATTCACTTTATTTTAGTGTGTTTTGTATGATCCAAAAGTTTAGCCACTTTAGAATACCCAGTTTCTGAAAAAAGTATGATTACATTTTTTTTGTAAATATTAAAAAAAATAATAATTTTTTATAATAACTTCAAAACTATAAAAGATACGTAAAAGATGACACAATACAAAAAAATTGGTTTTTTTCAACAAAAATTTTCATATTTTAATTTTTTTTGTAGCTTAAAAAATAACGGAGATATAGTTAGTTAAAGTTTGCTTTATAGCGCATGAACCACTGGTCTCCGACCCTTTGACCCTTCACCCTTTAAACATGAAGGACTTTAAAATGGTTTAACATTCCTATGCTTATAGCCCGTTAAATTATTTGTAAAATCGTTTTTTATGCATGTTGTAGCATCAAAATTAACCGAGTTATTGTAAAAAACCAATAGTACTTTTTAGAATAAATTTTGGAGCATGAAAAAATTTTATAATTTGGAGCATTGGAGCATTTCGATGGAACTAATAGACATTTAATATGTACATATGCATCTATGTATCTCTTTCTATATATATATATATATATATATATATATAATATATATATATATATATATATATATATATATATGTATATATATATATATATATATTATATATATATATATTATATATATATATATATATATAATATATATATAATATATATATTGTTTGTAGTCTCAGCAATTGGTCTGTATGAAATAAAACTCTATTTGTTATTTCTCAATATTTCGTCACGATTTTGTGACTTCTTCAGGAGAAAACTGTAAATTTATTATAATTATTATATGTAAACAAAATGAATATTTCAATACTTACAACTTAAGATTAAAAATTTAAATTTTGATAACATATCCAATTTAAATAAATGACATTTTTTTTATTTTAATTTATTTGGGAGTTATGGTAACCGCAATATTTTATAGAGTGAATTCCCATTCTACAATTTTCAGCGAATAAGTTTTAGTAAACAATGACATATTGTGACAGTATTATCCATATAATAAGGTGCAAAAGTAGAAGATTCAGAAAGAATCAGGAACATGGTAAATTGATCTATAAAATGTAATTGATGATACGTAGTCAGTTATTGGTCTGATGTTGTTAGATACTGATATTATATATATATATATATATTATATATATATATATATATATATATATATATAAACAAGTTTTATATAAATATTATTTATTTTTAGTTTTTTGGAAAATAAAAAAATTGTAATATATTATAAACTAAATTTTTTCTATTTATGTCCATGTCTAAGTTAAGGATTTATGGATTTTATTTTCATCAAAAGGGGAGCTTGTAAGGGTTGAAAAAAGTAGGCTCATTTTATAAGTAAAAAATTAATTTTTGTTTACAAACAATGCACTCTAAAAATGTTTCAAATCGTTAAAAATATTTTTTAATTCATTTTTGAAAAAAGGGGGTGATTGTGAGGGTTGAACTGTTGAAATTATAATAAAATGTTATTTTATAAGCAAGAAATTAATTTTTGTTTAATAAAATGCACTCAAGAAATGTTTCAGACCAATAAAAATATATCAAATTAATTTTTTTAAAAAGGGTTGGTTGTGAGGGTAGAAATGTTGAAATTATAGTAAAAAATAATTTATATGCAAAAAATTAATTTTCGTTAAATAAAATGCACTCAAGAAATATTTCAAACCGATAAAAATATTTTTTAATTCATTTTTTAATAATTTTTGTCATAATGTATAGCTAGGGTATTAATTTTTATTTGTATTTAAATACATAATTGAAATGTCTCAAGCTGCTACGACGTTTTTTCATATTATTTTTATAAAAAGTATTAGCGTTTAAGGGTTTTTAAAGTGTTTTAAGGTTGAAAATTGTGAATAATTAATTTTCATATTAGAGAACACATTACAATATTTACCTTACGCGAATAAACAAGATTTAAGTGCATAAAATAATTAAATCCGTGTTTTTCCCAGTTTCTTCAATAAGGGGTAATTTTCACCCCTTAAAAACCAAAAGCGCACCTAGAGCATATATAACTTTTGAAGTGGAGGGTAAGATAAGCTTAATTTGAAATTTTCAAAGAAATCGATGCAGTTATAAAAAATTCGGAGGTATTACCATATTTTAAGCCTCAGTAACTGGAGTAATATTCTCAGCAAAATTAAACTTTATTTTATAATTTGTAGAGGTTCAGTGGCATTTTCGTTTCTGGTGACAGGAATATTATTCTCTTACCGGTAATGCTTCTATAGCTAGTACAAACTGAACTTAAACCTTACAATATATTTAACATATGAAAAAGATAAAATGGTTTAAATACAAATATCTACATATATTTTTTATTATTAATTTTTTAATTATTTGATGTTATTAATAGAAGAATGTTATCGAAAATTTTTGATTGAATCCTTCGTTTCGGATTCGTTAAACTATTTTAAAATTTGCTATCGATTTATGCAGGTAATTTAAGAGTGAGAGAACATCCTTTACTGGGCCCATACGTGGAGGACCTTAGCAAGTTGGCTGTGATGAGTTACCAGGATATCCATGACCTTATAGATGAGGGCAACAAGGCCAGAACGGTGGCGGCCACCAATATGAATGAAACTAGTTCGAGGTCGCATGCGGTGTTTACGATTTTTTTCACGCAGCAAAGGTGAGTTACCTTGAGGATGATAATAAACCCTATCCTTTATTGAAAGAGATGCTACCTTGATAAAACAACGAAAATGACTTGGTTTATTAGAGGTTTGAGGTGATCGGTATCCTTGCACTAGTTTTCCTAGTCTGCATATCAAATTAGTTTACATTATACCAGGGAGTGTACATCATTATTTATACAGAGTGGACCAAAATTCTGGAAACGCCTAATTATCTCTTAAATGGATGGTAAATTGTACAAAAATCGAGACATAGCTATTCTGCAATATGGAGATTTTAAATTTCTTCTTCTTCTTCCTCTTTATAAACAATTCTGCTTGTTTATTGGCGGATTAACACTTCTATGGAAGGTTGTCACTCCATTTTTTGCGCGGTCATCCGATATTTCTTCTCCCGATTGGTGACTTAGGGGAGAGTGTTGTACCTTAAGTCAATTTTTAATTTTTATTTTTTCTAAATCCTAGAATTATATATTTGCAAAGTTTATCCAATGCATTAGTTGCTTTGGCTATTTGGCTACATGCTTTCTTTTTTTTTGACACATTTTAAGCTTAGTAGTTAGTTAAAAAACATATTTTAGCAGGCCCTTGCATGTTGACCCAAGGTAATTGTAATACGGCATATATTGTACTTTGGGTCAGTTATAAAAAAATAAGATATTAGAACATATCTTTAAATATTTTATTAAAAATCTCAAAATAATCACAACATTATAATTAACGAAGGATTAATTTGGTAAATAAAAACTTATTTTACATTATATCCGCTAAATTTAACATTAAACTTCAGGTGCGCATCGTGACGTACAGCTCCGTTTATTTTGTGCAGCTGTGGAAGTTTACGTACAATATCATTGCGCAAAAAATCATAAGTCTCGGATGAGTCGTTGATAAACTTATTGGAATCTAGAATTCTACGTAAATATCTAAGTTCGTTATTAATTCCACTGTTCAGTATTTCGGCGACAAAATAAACAAAAGATTTCTTCCCTGCCACTTTCACTAAAACAAAGTCCCCTTTTTAATCTCGCCATTTTCAGATAAGTCATATATTTTTTGGTCATTTAATAATTCTTCTTCTCTAGTTACCAAGTCCTTAAATGTACCTCCATCACTTGAACTTGATTCACCATCATATTTAGCAACTCTCTTTGGTACATTTTGTATATCCTCTGCCGCTATTTGCTTTGTAACTGCACTTTCTCAAATGATACCTTTTTGAGTCTTTCCCTTTTTGAGCTCAGCTATTTCATATTTCTCTGGTAAGTATTCGGGCCTTGCCTCTTGCTTTTCCTAACTTCTTTTTGCGACCAGGTGCCTTTGGATAGGGTCGCAACATTTCAGGTGTAATAGAACTTCCTGAAGTTCCTGCTTGACGAATATTTGAGGTAAAAGGAGTAGAGACTTCCATTTCATTAACTGCAGTTTTAGTTTGTTCCCCGTCCTGTTCAACATTGACTTGCTCGCTACTGTCTGTAAGCTGGTTTAAAGGAAGATCAGTTACATATGAAGACAGAAACTCATCATCCATCATCATAATCATCCACTCCCTACAGGCGGTATTATAGTAGGATTTCATCGGTCCAAAAACTGTTCGATCGATCGGTTGCATTTTGTGGCTGGTGTGGGGATGAAACGTTATTGGTAGAACGCCATTCTTCTTACAGAAATTAATGACACTTACATTCGCGTGGCTATCGTGATTATCCAAAAGTAATAGAACTGGATTTTCAACTGTTGGTTTCAAATGATTTTTAAAGTATTGTAGGTATTCCAAAAACAATATTTCGTTTGACCAGCCGGACGGATTTGCACCTCCTATAGTTCCATCCGGACAACATTTTAGCATATGAGGCTTAAAATTAACCCTCGGAAATATCATCATTGGCGGAATATGATTTCCGATTGCATTTATTGAAGCTATCAAGGTTACATTTTGACCTCGCTTGTCACTTGACCTAACTGTTTTATTCCCTTAGGTCTTAAGGGAATAAAACAAGTAAGCTTTCGACTTATATCTTTGTGGTAGTATTCTGGTGTTTTGTTATCATATATATATATATATATATATATATATATATATATATATATATATATATATATATATATATTTACATTCGTCTTTCGCACAATACCAATGATATATGATTATAATAGTTATGTGGATATATTAATATATTTCTTTTAGGGTTGACGAAACAACTCAACTAACAACAGAAAAAGTATCCAAAATATCACTGGTAGATCTTGCGGGTTCCGAAAGGGCTGATTCTACGGGAGCCAAGGGAACTCGATTAAAAGAAGGAGCTAACATTAACAAAAGTTTAACCACACTAGGAAAAGTTATTTCCGCTTTAGCTGAAATAGTAAGTAGCATGTAGGTCTTAGAAAACATATTATTAACTATTTTTTTTTCTATTCTTTTTCCTCCCATTCTCATTGGATATAATTAAAGTCGGTGAGTAATTGAATATTTTTGATTTCTAAATTTTACCAAATTTCTTTTTAATTCATACTTACACAGTGACCACACATGGCTAACTAACAAATAATCCAAAATATTCTTTTCGCTAATGTATTTGACATTTGAAGTTTTGAGAACTGTTTGAAGCTCAATAAACGAAATAAAGCAATTCTATTAAGATATTTATACTTTTGATTAATTTAAAACTCTTGCTAGTTAGACATATTTTTCTTGCTTTGGCATACAATTCAAATTAAGCTTTGGTCTAATGTAATTTTCGCCTGAAACATAGACTGTTACGCTCCTATTATCTCCAAGTTCCGAAAAACATCTTTTTAGTCTTTTGCTCTGCATTTTATTGTCTATAGTTCTGTCTTGCTCACAGCATCGAAAACTCGAAGACATCGAAGATTTTCCATAGAATTATTCAACTACAAAAAATTTGTCTGTCACTACATTCTTACCAAGTTGCAGTTTATTGTTTTTATTTTTTGTTTGCTATCTACTGCGTAATAAATAGATCAGACATCAAAAATAGATCAAAGCAGACATTTCTCAAAACTTATCAACTTAAAATATAGGGATATTTAGTTAGCATTTGTCAACACAGTTCCTGTTGTAGGCATCCAAGAACAAGAAATCCAAAAAAGCCGATTTTATACCATACAGAGATTCAGTTCTGACGTGGTTGCTTAGAGAAAATTTAGGTGGTAACAGTAAGACTGCTATGATAGCTGCTATTTCCCCTGCCGATATAAACTACGATGAAACTTTATCGACTTTAAGGTAAAAATATATTCTAATAATACTTTAGATGATTATAATTGGTATTTATTATTATTTACATGTCAGTTTAGAGTGTGTATATGTTGCCTGTCTGATCTGATCTGCCTTTTATCAAAGGTGTAACTGACAAGATCGGTAGAACTCTTATTCCTTTAAATATCAAAACTATCTTCACTACTCACTCCAAGTTGTCCAATATCGTCAGATCCGTAAAAGACCAAATCCCCGATGAATACCATCGTATCTACGAGATACCTTGTTCCAATTGCCCACGTATATACATAGGACAGACAAACCGACGAATCCACAACTGCATTTACGAACATTCTCTATCAGTCAAACATTCCGATACTACTTCAGCCCTAGCCCAACATCATATTCAGACAGGTCACAAAATAGATTTCGAAAAAGCAAAAACCATCAGTCCTAACTTCTCCTTAAAATCAAGAATTATTCATGAAGCCATCGAAATTTAAAAACGAAAAATAAAGTAATTTGACCAAAACAGTCAATTTAAATAACATAAAATTATACCATTGTGAAAATTATATATTAGTAAGTGTTAATCACTTTCACTAACATAACAAAAAGGTTTACAAGGTAATTGAATAGTATTGTATCGATTAATTTCTGATCAGTAGATATCAATAGACTATTGAAAGCAAAATCCACGTCATTCGGAGTTTCCTGGAAAAACCTTCCAATGAACACATGTCATTTGGACCTTTTTAATTGATCCACCTAGTATATTTTAACATATCGTTAAATATAAAGGTTTTAACGCAGTTATCGACACTTTTTTATTAAAATCTACATGTATTAAATTCACATTTACAAATATTAGAAACAATATATAATAATTTCTCGTTTCCTTTTGTAGATACGCAGATAGAGCCAAACAAATCGTCTGCAAAGCCATCGTCAACGAAGACGCAAACGCCAAACTTATTAGGGAGCTTAAAGAAGAAATTCAGAAACTACGCGAGCTACTGAAACAGGAGGGAATAGATGTATGCGAAGGTAAGTACTTAGTGCTCAGTTTAGTAAGATATCTTTTACTTAGTTACTCTTGCTATTGTTGACGTATCGAGGGTCAATCTGGAAGATTTTGCTTGGGAGTTACTAACAATAATACGAATTTTAAAACATTTAATCAGATATTAAAATTTTTATATTTGTTTTGACCAGTTTGCATAATTTTAGGTCTGCATTAATGTTATAGGACTGATGTGTCACTAAAAATTCACCCTGTATATATACAATTTTAACAACTGAAGTCTTTAACTAGATACCTGTCTAAAAAACACACCAAAATTCAAAACAAACTGGTTTTCTTGATATGTCGGGTAGATATGCCAACTACAGTTAATTAAAAATATGTAGGTTTAGATAATTTGATATTTTTGTATTGTTGCTTTTCAGTTGCTGTTTATCTAATAAATATTCACCTTTTTTTGTAAAATTTTGAGGTCTATTACGTCCGTGATTTCTTGGGTATTCCTTACCTGCCTCCAATTGAAGTCATCCAAGAATGTTCTTGCACGTGGTAATATTTTGTCCATCTTATTTTTTGAATTGTATGCCTCTACCTATGTTTTGCTCATCCCATCAAATTGAGATTAAATTGTTGTGTGTTATAATGAAGATGCCCTGATTAACCCTTGGCTGTAAAAAAAGTGTCTCCTTCCACCAGGAGACATTCAGATTCCTTTATATATTTCTTTTTCTTCTGGGTGGTTCTCAAAGCCATACTTTTTCCTGATCTTTGTCATCCTGATCTAGTATTTGGCCATTATCATTTGTCACTTCATACTTGCTATCTATTCCAGCTACTACTTTGTAAATAGCTTCTTTCCCCACCTTTGCATAGCAATCACCGTTTACTAGCTTTATATCATGTTTTGGTAGATGCTTATATTGATGCGTCAGTTGCTGGTGGAGTAGGTCTTTTGTTTCATCATCTTTTTCCTCAGATTTAGTTATAGCTTTGTAAAAAAGTGATTTGGCACTTTCTCTTTGTATATGTTTTTTTTTTTCGAAAATCGTCTATTATAAATCTAATATAGAACAAAGTCACATCAGATATATGAGAACGGTATTAAGACCTAACACTAGCTATCTAATCTCGAGTATCTAAGAAGAAATTGCCGAACTTCTGAAACAAAAAAAATTTAATGAACAATAGTATCTTCTGAAATATCAATATATTAAAAAAATTTCATTTTGTTCATACTTTCTAAGGCATATAAATTTATATAAACACACATTATTAAAACATTTCAATATATCTTCACTATACCTTTAACGATTTCACAACTATGACAATTAACAACACATTCTTTTTTTCTGAGGTCTCAGCATTTGATATTGAGAATTTTATATCTTCCTTAAACTATACTAGCTCAGTAGGCATTGACCAAATCCCCACTAAAATAATTAAATACATTTCTTCATATATATCTCCTGTTCTGTCTCACATCATCAACCTATCTGTCAAGGATGGCAAGTTTCCAAGTGACCTTAAAACGGGAGTAGTTAGTCCAATTTCCAAAAAGGGAGATCCATGTTTGGTTGATAATTACAAGCCAATCACTGTAACACGTGTACTCTCTAAGATTATCGAAAAGTGTATTTACAATAAAATGTTAAATTTTCTGAATAAATATGATATCTTAAATAAATGCCAGCATGGGTTTCTTCCTAATAAATCTACAGAGAAGACTCTATAAGAAGTCATCTGTTTTTAATCTTGATCAAGGTGTACCGGAAGGTTCCGTATTGGAACCCTTAATATTTCTTTTAATATGTCAATGATTTGATAAAAAAAATGAACTTAGTAGCACAGGAATTTACAACCTGGTGTAAAAGGAACTCTTGAATGGTAAATGCAAAGAAAACTATTTGTATGCAGTTCTACTCGCGCTGTAAGCCATCCCATGATTATAAGATCATAGTTAGTTCTAAGGAAATACCTTTTAGTGATACAACATTATTTCTTGATAGCAGTCTAGAAAGTAATATGACATGGGATGAAAATGTTACTAAAGTGTGCAAAACAATGAATTAGGGTTACCTTCTTCTTCTTCCAATGGCGCTACAGCCCAAATTGAGCCTTGGCCTCCTGTAACTTCTGCCTCCAACAAAGGCGATCCCGCGCCAGTCGTCTCCAAGCCCTGACGTTCAATAAGTTGTGCGCATCTGCTGTGACTTCGTTCTCCCATCTATTACGTGGTCTTCCCTTTGGTCTTCTGCCCTGCATTTTACCATCCAAGGCCTTTCTCGGCAATCTGTCGGCATCCATCCGTACCACATGACCAGCCCATCGAAGCCTTTGTACTCTAGCGAACTCTGCAATAGGTGCTTCTTTGAACAGTTGGTAGAGTTCATGGTTATATCTAGATCTCCACATCCCATTTTGAGTGATGGGTCCAAAGATCTTCCTTAGGATTTTTCTCTCGAAAACCTCTAATCTTCGTTTAGTGCTTTCTGTCAAAACCCATGTCTCGCATCCATAGCATACTATCGGTCTGATGATAGTTTTATAGACCTTAAGTTTCGATTTTCTATGTACCGTCTTGGAGCGGAATATGTTAATCAGGGAAAAATAGGCTTTATTTCCCTTCATTATTCTCTGCTGAATTTCGGCCTCTTCTGTTCCCTCCGTATTCATTTCGACTCCCAGATAAGTAAAACTCTTCACTGTTTCAATGTCATCCTCTACTTTGATTTGATTTCTCGTTCGCTTTGTCCGCGTCTGTGTTAGTATTTTTGTCTTCTGTGTATTTATTTCAAGTCCAATCTCCTTGGCTGTTTTTTTCAGCTGCGAATATGTTTCTGCTGCATCATCCACTCTGCGGGACATGAGGTTAATGTCATCCGCATATGCGGCGAGCTGGACAGATTTGTTTGTTAGGAGATTGGCTCTTCCGACATTCAGCTTTCTGATGACATATTCAAGGGCCAGATTGAACAGTGTTGGGCTAGTCCGTCACCTTGTTTCAGCCCTTGAACTATTTCGAAGCTGTCAGTTAATTCGTACTGTATGCGTACAGTTGCTATTGTGGAGTCCATGATGTTATATAACCGGCTTCTATTTATGGAGTCATAAGCCTGTTTGAAGTTGACAAATATATTGTGAATTAGGGTTACCATTCGATGCTTAAGTGGAAAACTCTATTTAATACCAATCAATTGATAAGTCTGTACTATGTATTGGTTTATTCATATATGGTCCTATAATGTTGTCTTGTGGGGAAACTCTAGGAACTCTTCTATAACTAAAAAGAGAATTTTTAGATTGATATTCATTATTGATAATAGACAATCATGTCGTAAATATTTCTTAGTATCGAAAATATTCTGTAAGCACATAGAAAGGACTCTTTGTACCTGCAGAGGGTCGCCGTGAATTCTGGCAGCAAATGACGTAGCAATTTGTAGAATTATATATTTTAAATATATTTATTTGTGTTATATATAATGGTTATATATATATAAATCCATAGGTCGCTGGTTCATATCCGGATCAAAGGACCATGGAAGCGGGCAGGATTCCTCTGTTACCGTCCAAGTGGAGCCGAATTAATATATCGGCCGGGTACAAGTAATTAGGTTAAATTACTTCGGATTATCGTTCGATTTTGGGGTATTCCATTAAGCGGTGGTTCTTTTTGTTTGTATTTTAAATAAGTACTTCTTACTCAATAGAAATGTAATTTTAATTATTACCAGTGTACTTTTAAATTATTGAATAGATAATACAGTTATCATTTATTTGCTCTCTGCTTTATATACGAAATATTATCACTTACAATAGTTAATCTGTGATCGTATGTTTCACCGTGCCGACTGTCTTCCAAGGCGGTTGAACATAAAAAGAGAGAGGTCGGTACAATCTTTCGCAGAGTCAAATTTTGGTCTGTACCAAGGGATGGTCAGGGGTAGGACGCGGGAGCGCTGTTGCCAGTTTGGATCAAATCCGAACACACAGACTGTTGACTTTCCATGCTTTATATATTTATAAGTGTATTATTCACGTCAAAACTAAATTTCAAAATTTTACCCTCAACTCTGACTTTCATAATTACATAATTTCATAATTAGTGTGTAAACACTCCACAACTCTCTTTGAAACTAGTCCTGATTTTGCAGGATCTAAATTTTACAATTGTTTGCCACTTGTAAATTATTATTTTGACTTAATAAAAGACTACAACAAATGAGGACCGACGGGGTTCAGAGACGCTCTATATTATATCTGTTTTATATTAATCTATATTTTGTTGATTATGTTTTATGTAACTATATGACTTGTCCTATATCATTGGATTAATAAAGAATATTCTATTCTATTATATATATTCTTTGATTATTTGGACTACTCCCAAGCAAAATAACAAGGAAATACCCTCGTTCGCCAGGCTGTTATTCAAAATTATGTATGTATGTACAAAATATATTTAGGCAAATCCGTAGAAATTGTCCTTTGACCAAGTTAATTTAAGTTAGTATAGAGTAACTAGTTTTGTTTCTTGAGAGAATTTAAATTTTGTGGCTGATGGCGTTTTTAAACTTTTGTCGCAATGCAGGCCCAGATGGCAAAGTTATTTATGAGAAAAGGGAGCCTCCTAGTAAGTATTTGCTTCATAATAAAGGCTTCTGGCACTCATATTTTTATTATTACATACTCGTTTTAACTTATTTGAACTGAACATGTGTTAGAGTGTATCGTCTTCAGATCAAATTGGTGTATCAATTTTCTTTAATAAAATTAGTAAATGTTTAAGTAGATATTGGAGATACTTAAGTAGTGCAGTTGTCAGTGACGGAAATGCCAGTGAACTTCTAAAAAGAATACAGACAAGCTGAATTTTGCTGAGAATGTTAATTTTGGGACCCAAAAAGATGCTACAAGTTTGCCACTTCTACTCTCGGGCTTCCTCCTAAAACCCGCCTTTAGGGATGGGGAACAGAAACATTGATTTATTAAGAATCAATAAACCGTAGAAAAAATTGCTTCA